GTTGATGACGATGCCGGCGCTGCCTTGACGCCGAGCAGGGCCGGAGTGGCGGAGGAGTGCGATGAAGATCGGGAGGAGGAAGAAGAGGAGGAGGACCCGAACCTCCTTGGCGCCCATGGCCCGGCGCGTCGGTGCTGCACCGGGGCGGCCGCCCTCGCCGGGTACGCCAACGGCGGGTCGTTGCCGCCCTCGAGGTACGTCAGCACGCCCTCGAGTGTGCGGCCGGGGACGCCCCACCACAGGTGGCGCCCCTCGTTGTTCTGCCGGTCGCCGACCACCGGCGTGCCGTTGGTGGACGCCAAGCGCTGCTGCTGGCGGCGCTCGAAATACGCCGCCCAAGCCGCGTGGTTGTCGGCGGCGTACTGGGGGAGGGAGAGTTGGGCGTCGGTGAGGGAGACGCGCACGACCTCGATTTCCTCGATGAAGTACTTCGGCTTCGCCACGGCGTCGGGCAACGGGGGAATGGGCACTCCCCCGGCGCTGAGCCTCCACCCCGTCGGCCCGGCGCGCATGTCCGGCGGCGCCGGGATGTTCGCCTGGAACAGGAGCCAGGACTCCTGTTCGCGGAGCGAACGGCGGCCGAAGTCGTTGGCCGCCGCCTCGTCTCCGGGGTAGCGTTCCGCCATGGCGACGGGCTCGGGAGAGGTAGAGAGATAGAAAGAGAGGGGCTGGGCGGCGGCGCTCGGGAGAGGTAGGGAGAGGGAGGAGCTGGGCGACGGCGAGGGGCGGGCTGGTGTGGGCACAGGCGAGTGCAGGCCACCGGCTATATAGCCGCGCAACACCCGTGTGTATGCGTGCGAGGGAGGGGAGGCGTCGGCACGTCGTCCCGTGACGCGCTGCCCATGAGGAATCAATGGCAAGGCTGACCGGCGGGAGCCTTGCCATTGATTCCCCGCGGAAACCGAGGCTGTTTGGGGAAGGCGAGGCGCCGTGTCGCTGACGCGGCGGGACCGCGGCTGTTTCACGCCAAAACAGTTCGCCCCGGCGCCCCCGGGCGTCCCCCAGCGCGCCGGGTTCGGCCTGGGTCCGCCGGCGCTGTTTTTGGCCCAGGCCGGCGAAAATCGGACTCCTGGGAGCATGACTGGGTCGTTTTTTTTACGCCGGCGCGAAAAAATCGCCTGGGAAGGCCTTCTTAGGAGCGCGGCTGGAGATGCCCTGATGGCGTTGTACTAGTAGAGCACATTAACCACAGCATTAACCAACCAGCGGCAGCATGTACTAGTAGAGCACCTAGGGTTCGCACGCACGGCACGGACATGGGCGCAGGAGAAAAGGGGAAGCTGGCTGGCTGCCACCACTCACCTTAAAGCTGACCCTTTTTCCAGGGAGGGAGGGTTTAATTAATTAATCCGGCCCGGTCCCTCCCGGATCGCACAAAACCGGGGCCGGACGTGACTAATCATCCCCCCGATCGCCGTGTGCGCCGTGCGCGTCCGATCGATAAAGCCCGCCCGCCTTTTCGATCCGTCGCCCACGCGCCCACCCCCCCTGGCCAAGGAGCTCCTCGTTTTTAATCTTGCAAAAGCGGACGGGAGATCGATCGAGGTTTGGTTTGGACGGCCGCTTTTGCTTTTGCTTCGCTTTGGGATGCCACGGCGTGCGCCGGCGTCGCGCGCCACGGTGAGCGGCGCAAAGCCTGCCGCCGCCCCCGTGCACGCATGATCTGCTGGCGCGGCTGCGTTTCTCACCGGACCCATCTGCGGTACGGATGATCGATCACCGGCCCAGCGACGGAAAACCGTTTCCGCCGTGGAACACGATTTGATGGATGAGAAGGACGGACGGACGCCAGAGGCGCTAGCGTGCGCGGGTGCGTGCACAAGCCTCGCACGGCGATGGCGCAGGAGTAGGTATGGATGTGGTGCAAGGATTCTGCCGGCACGGTGTCTGGTGTGGACATAAATGCCGTAGCGCTGCTGTACCACCACGAGTGCGGCTGCGGAATCAAATCAGATCAAATCATGCTCCTGTTTATGTTTAGTTCACACAGCCCCGCGGTGCAAGGAGCGGAACGCGGAGAGGGACGGACTCTGCCGACGCGGACGTGCATGTCGTGGCGCGGCTGTACGAGAGCCGCTCTGGAATCATGGATGGCCCTGTCGTCCTTGGCGTTTCTGGTTGTGTTTAGGGCTAGGAGGAGGATGAATTGGACGTTACGGGGGTCTCGCGCATTATTAGGGCATGTACAATGGTTGATAAGATAGTCTTATCTTAACTCTTGCATGTAAATTAGAGATGACAAAAAAACATGTCTACAATGGGTCATTTCTTAGCCTTATCTTCAATAATTAGTTGTTCCTAAAAACATGATGAGACAAATTGTGCTAAGAGATCATCTCTTGTCTTCTCTTAAATAAGAGAAGACAAGCCTTATCTTACGATTTCTCTCTCCTCCACCTCATCATTTGTCCTACGTGTCACTCTTAAGATAGAACCATTGTACATGCCCTTATTAGCCCTTGCTTAGACGAGTAGACGGCCGCCTTTCTAGAGCAAAACGTCGCAGCCCTTGCGCCTAACTCGTGTCGACCGCCCGGGCGCGCGCTGTCACTCACACACACTCACACCCATCGCGCATCGGCATCACGCGTCTTGGTCTGGCTAGCTAGCCCATCACGCATGCACGGTCGGCTTCCCTTGCTGGTCTACACCAAAGGAAAGTGCAGTACTAGTACGTACAGCAGCTAGCATGCAGTACTCATCGTCCTCTAGCATTAGGCCAATTCCCTATCCTGTTCGCCCCGTCCGTTTGGAATAAAAGGGACAAAAAAAGCAGCCCAGCGCGCGGGAGCAAACGGACTTTTGTCCGCTTTGTGTCCGCTTTCGATTCATTTCCCGACCCGAACTTGCGTCGTTTTTGGGGTGAAACGGACACCACGCGGATCGTCCGCGCGTGTCCTCCCCTGGCCCGCCCGTCGGTGGCACAAGACATGCCTTTTTCTATCCGCCCCCTCCCTTCCTCCGGCCGCACCCCCTTCACTCTTCCCCACTCTTCCCGTTGCCGCCGCCGCCGCCGCTGCCATTGCAGCCGTGCAGTTCGGACGCGAGCTCGCCCAACCCCTTCCCCTCGGCGCCGGGCTCGGACGCGACCACGGCCACCTGGTTTGCGCACCCGCCGGCCGGTTTTGGGGCGGATCCGGTCAGTCTTGAGCTCGGCCGGCTGTGGGAGGCCGGGCCGTGCCATGGACTGGCCGGGCACCTCGCCGGAAGGCCCTGGCAGGGCCGCAAGGCCACATGCAGGCAGTGGCTCCTCCTCTAGCCGCTCGGATCTGCACCGTCGGTGGTCCCCCGGCAGATACACGAATGGCGGTCGGCCGGGCTCGGTGCTTGCCCAAAAGCTCGCCGGCGCACCGTTGCCACTCATTAAGTGCGACCACTGCCCAAGGATGGTCGTGCGCCGCGTGTCTACAACGCCGGAACATCCCGAATGGGTGTTCATCAAGTGCTTAAACGATGGGGTATGCGCTTTCTTTAGCTTCGGTTTGTGCTCTAGATTTATCTAGTTATGCTAACTTCAAATTTTGTTGTGTAGAATGGATGCAAGTTTTGGTATTGGGAAGAAGAGTACATAGTACATGTTTGTGCACTTTTAGCTAGCATAGAGGCTGTAAATGAGACAAGTGCACTTGTTGCTAGATTAGAGGCTAGACACGAGACTAGGTGTGAGGAGGAAGCAACATCGACTTCTGGCTTGAAGAAGAAAGGAGGATGCCAGATTGAGCCTCCTCCTCCACAGATCAACAACGAGTGCATTGAGAAGGCCCTAACCCAACTCAAGGGAGCAGTTATGAAAGTTGGGTATTTTCTAAAATGTATTCTTGTGGTTCTTGTTTTCTTTGGTCTTGCTTTGCTAGTCAAAATGTGATGATGTATTTTTCATGTACCAAAAATGAATGATGAAATAAAGTTAAGGACTTGCAAAGAAATAATATGCGGACAGGATGCGGCCGGGATGTGTCCGCGCGCTGGGCGCACGGCCACAGCATCCCAGGACAGACCCGGACACGACCCTAAATCCCTACCCAAAGGGACAAAAACTGGACATAACGGACGTTCGTTTGGGGTCGCGCGGTGGCGTTGGCCTTAGACATTACTATACGATGAGTAGTAGTAGTAGCTGTAGGAGTACGTACTAGTATACGAGGGAAGGCGTGTAGGATTTAGGTCAATAATAAATGGGAGGAGTAGAGTCGTGGTCGTAGGAGAGGTAAGAAAAGATGGGTCGCTGCATGGATGGATGGCATGCGATGGTAGAGTGGTAAGTACATTTACTGCGTGGCGTCCGGCCCGGTCTACGGTGATGATAGATAGATGGTTCTTTTGAGGCGTGCCGTGCTCGCTTCTACCGCGACAACCCATCATGATGTTGCGCTTCACCAAGCACATCCTACACTACACTACACACACTCTTTCCCCCCCTCTCTCTCTCTTCTTCCCTTGTTCGTCTCTCCCTCTCTCTTCCTTGGCTGGCAGGCAGCGCATACAACACGCCCTGCCTTTTCCCCTTTTCCCGTACGTAGGTGGACTCGAGAGCAGCAGCTACACACACAGACACGGTATACACCCAAGGCCGGCCATGGCCATGGGTGTGCCCGTACTTTGGTGTGGCTCGTTTTATTTCTGCCTCCACCCAGCAGCACGCATGCAGAGGAGCAGAGAGTGGGAGAACCCAATGCCCAACACCCACCATTTCCGTCGTGGCCCAGCTCCACTCCACCACGTACTTCTTCCTCCTCGTCTCGATCCTTGGTGGTGGCACGTTTTTTCCTTTCTTTTGCTCCACCCTACGGGTTCGCGGGGTCGGGGTCGTGGTCGTGGGATGTGACGACCATCATTAGCTAGCTCGTCGTGCAGTAGACAGTAGTAGTACTACGTGTTGGATGCCGGAGACAGACACCAATCATGCGCCCAACGTTCTGATCCTACGGCGGGGGTGGGGATCCGGATCCGTCGGACTTGTCAACAACGCGCGCGCGTGCCGTCCACGCGTCATCATTCATTCAAGTTTTTTTCATTTTTGCTTCAGAGACCGCCATGACAAACCGGTCGGTTTTAAGCGAAAAATCCTTTTTGGCAAATCCATCCACGCATCGCCTTTCGGACGCGAGAGACCTGCTGGCTGCAGGGACAGCTGCCAACAGTGCGCCGGTGGAACGGCGAGGGAGGATCCGATCCGATCCCATCGTCGCCACGGCCTGAACCTGACGGGAGGGAGGGCATTGAATGCTTTCCTCCCTTGCTTCCACGGGAGAATCATGCGATGCGATGCGATGCAGGCGGCAGAGACGAGACTAGTGCAGCGCCCGGCCGGTGTCAGTCGCACAGCAGACCACCACCATCTTTAATCTCACTTTCTTTCTCCATTCTCCATGGCCAAAACAAGGAAAGAAGGAGCGTGAACATAGACACCGTAACCAGGCGACAAGCGTGGTAAAAGCAATCTCAAATTGACAAAAAGAAAAACCATAGACACCGTACACGCCGCATATTCGAGATCCCAGCAGTATCTCGGCCAAAGCTAGAGAATATTCTAGATCCCACGCCGCATTTCAAGACATTTTCACGGCGCCAGAATCTCGTCTATCTAACGTGCGACTGCGCCACGCAGACAGACATGTCCATCTCATCAAGAACTGAAAAGAAAGTAGGCACCGGAGGGAGGGGCAGTGGGCGCAGCCGGAGAGTGGTCACATCGCGCACACATCCAGGCCACTCGAGGACGCAGCCATCATGGCCTTTGCAAAGAGGCGCATCCTCTTCTCCTCGTGCGGTATGATCGGGCAGGAGAGGGGACGGCAAAACGGTGGGAGGAGAGGAAATGATTCGATTCGCAGGTGCCACCACTACTGGGGCTGGGGCGGACGCCGTGTGTAGAGAGAGAGAGACACAGTACCACCAGCCATGATGCCATGGGCAATGCAAGCCCTGCCACGGACCCATACGGTGTGACGCATCATGCATGCACCGGCCGCCATCCTTGCCCCTGCTCGAAGAAAGAAAGGCGATGCGTGCCGTGCAGCCACCGCAGGCGCAGCGCAGCGCAGTGATGCAGGTGCCACACGCACAACCCCTCCCTCCCTCCCCCGTGAATAATTCGGCCATGTCTGTCCGGGCGAGAGGGACGAGCGAGGTGCGTGGGGCCTGCCGGCGGACCGGGAGTAATGGGGCGACGACAGCCTGTGGTAATGGCATGGCCCCACTGTGCAGTGCAGGAGAACTGTAAGTATATGTATGTATGTGTGTGTGGTAAACAAATGTTCCTTCTTGGACGGAAAAAGATCGACAAGCGAGCATATCCGAAAGCTCACGGGCGTCGTAGCGAGAGATGGTATGGCTTGCTTGTGTTTCGTTGCTGATCGACCAAGCCCCATAAAAAGGAAGTGCTCCTTTGCCCGAGCAGGCCCTAGCATGCATGCAGACCAAAGTACTATAGCGTTGGGGAAGGCTCAGGCTCAGGCTCAGGCTCAGACGCAAAAAACTAGAGAAACAGGTCAGAGTTTTTCTTCTTCTTCTGCGACGAATCGACCGAGAGACTCAGAGTTACGAACGAGCCCGTCGTCAAAGTTGCACTCGTGCTGCCAAACATGTCGTGGCAACACGATTGCACCGGATACCCACAGAGATCATCATCATGGTGTGTGGCTGGTGCCTTTGGATCTGCTTACTGTGCTCTACCGTAGAATTACTGGTCTTGCA